TTTCCATTCAGGCAACGACCTGGACTCGATTCGGGCCCTGTTCAGCGAGAAGGAGAAGGAACTGAGCCTGGCCGTGGCCAAAGTGGAGGCCCTGACGCGGCAGCTGGAGGAGCTGAGGCGGGACCGCCGCTGTCCGGTGAATCTGCTGGCGGCCACGACGGGCAATGGCGTCGGACAGGCCCTGCCCCCGCAGGCATCCCGCGAGCTGGAGAAACTACGCAGGGAGCTGATGGTGAGTATTGGATGAGATTCGAGCCGAAACGGAACTCATTTCGCTGCTCTTTTTCCGCAGTATCGCAATCAGTTGTCCCTCCAACAGGACGCCCGGCTGCACATGCAACGCGAGGCCCTGCAGCAGCGCCAGGCGGAGCTGCGGTCCGTGGATCAGCGAATCTACGAGCTGCAGACGCGCCTCCAGCGCAAAAAGCAGGCGAACACCCATCACCAGCAGCAACAGCATCTGCAACAGCATCAGCAGCAGCATCAACAGTTGCAACAGCAACAGCAACAACAGCAGCAGCAACAACAACAGCAGCAGCAGCAACAGCAACAGCAGAAGCAGCAGCATCCACAGCAGCAGAAACACCAGCAGCCGAATCATGCCCCTGGGCCCGTTGCGAGCCTGTCCGCCAAGCACGGCGGAGTCGCAGCCCTCAAGCAGCAGCTGCTGCAGAAGCAGGTCAATCAGCTGGCTGCAGCCGCGGCCGCTGCCGCCGCTGGCCGAGCCCGCGGCAATGTGGCCGCCGTCGAGCCCTTCATCCACACGCCCCAGAAGTCCACCATCACGAGCACCGCCAGCTATCTGAGCGGCGGCAGTATGCTGAAGCACGCAGCGGCCACGGCCAACACCAACCAGCAGAACCAGCTCATCCAGGACCTCACCCACATGAAGATGAAAATGGGCCAGGGCACCGGTGGGGGGTTCTTTGGGGGTTCCGTGCCAGTGCCAGTGCCCGTTCCAGTGGCAGTGTCCGTGGCTGGCGCCAGCTCCAGCAGCGAGAGCGATGAGTCGAAGCTGGCCAAGAAGCTGCTGACTGCAGCGCCAGCCCCAGTCACGGTTCAGGCCAAGACGGGGGCAGAGCTGCGGAAGCAGGCCCAAACGGAGGCCATGGACAGCACCACGCACATCTATGCGGAGGTGGGTCCCAAGAAGCGGGACAGGGAGGCGGCAGCCGCTGCCGCCGCTGCAGCTGCTCAAGCGCAAGCACAAGCTGCGGCCGAAGCAGCAGCATCCACAGCCACCACAGAAGCCCCTCCTGCCCCAGCGAATGCCAGCAAAATACCGAAGAGCATCTCCAGCAGTGGAAGCACCAGCTCCGCCTCGGCGCTGATCAACAAACTCAACCAGCAGGCCACCAAGGACACCCAGGGGGACACGGGACACCAGCAGCACCAGCAGCAGCAGCAGCAGAAGAAGAACGAGATCGCGGTGACGAGCGAGACGCTCTCGGAGCGCAGCAACCAGCAGCAGTTGACGGTGCACAGCATGCCCCTCGGTGCCATCAGCAAGTCGGTGGCCCTGGCCGTGTCCAATGCCGCCAAGCCGCTCCTGGTGCAGGTCACCAACCTCGCCGTGCCGCCCCGCAAGCCCCTCAGCAGCGTGGCTCCAACGTCGGTGAGCGGCAGCGGCAGCAGCAGCAGTGGCAGTGGCACTGGCAGTGGCAGCTCCATTCCCAAGATGATCACCTACAGTCCGAAGGTGAACCGCGTGGCGCCCAATGTGGTGCTGGCGGATCCACGCCCGGCCCTGCCACCCAAGCCCAGCAAGATGTCGCCCACGGAGCAGTCATCGTCATCCCCAGCGGAGGCGAGTTCCAGCTCGACTTCTGCCCCTCCCCCGACCATGGCCAAGTCCCAGGGACACGGGCAAGGGCAAGGGCAAGCACCGGCACACCAGGCACCACAGGTGCAGGCCACCTTCGGCCTGCAGTCGCTGAACATCAACGACAACCTGCCCATCAAGGCCAAGCCCCTGACCATCCGCAAGCAGCCGCTGTTCGAGCAGCCGCGCCTCAAGTCCAGCCAGACGGCGACGGGGAGCAGCGCCGGCCAGCCCAAGCAGCCGCTGCAGCAGCAGCATCAGCAGCTGCAGTCCCAGCGGAAGTCGGAGCCAGCCAGACCGCCACCGGAAGCGGCCAAATCATCGCCCGACCCCTCGCCCCCGCACTCGCCCAGCAGCGAGTCCAGCGCGGATGAGCCGGATCGTGTTGCCCCCACGAAGGAGGAGCAGGAGACACCTGTGGCCACGCCCCCCACCGCAACCACCAGCAACATCAAGGAGCGGACGGGAGGCAAGCCGAAGCTGGGACGACGCGTGAGCTTCGATCCGTTGGCCCTGCTGCTGGACGCCAGCCTCGAGGGCGAGCTGGAGCTGGTGAAGAAGACCGCAATGCAGGTGGCCAATCCCAGTGCGGCCAACGACGAGGGAATCACCGCCCTGCACAACGCCATCTGTGCCGGGCACTTTGATATCGTCAAGTAAGTGGAAACCTTCGGCCGCCGCCTGCTGGTCCCCCCATTAATCTGTCGTCCTTCATCTGTTCAGGTTTCTGGTGGAGTTTGGCTGCGACGTGAATGCCCAGGACTCGGATGGCTGGACGCCGCTGCATTGTGCGGCCAGCTGCAACAACCTGTCGATGGTCAAGTTCCTGGTGGAGAGCGGAGCCTGCCTGTTTGCCTCGACCCTGTCCGACCACGAGACGCCGGCGGAGAAGTGCGAGGAGGATGAAGAGGGCTTCGATGGATGCTCGGAGTATCTGTACAGTAAGCAACAGGCTGCAAATGGTTGTCCACGAGGCAGACGTAACTCCCTTTATCTTGCAGGCATCCAGGAGAAGCTGGGCATCCTGCACAACGGCGACGTCTATGCCGTGTTCTCCTACGAGGCCCAGAACGGGGACGAGCTCTCCTTCCGCGTCAACGAGCCCCTGATCGTGCTGCGGAAGGGCGACGATGCGGAGAACGAGTGGTGGTGGGCCCGGAACGCCAGTGGCGAGGAGGGATACGTGCCACGCAACCTCCTGGGTGTAAGTACAAATGGATAAAGACCCCGAAATTATGAAAGCAACTTATCTCCCTCCCCATCCACAGCTGTACCCACGTGTGCCGCCGCAGTCGCCGCACTACGGCGATTAGCAGTTAATACGCTTCACCATACTGAAGCGCAAGGCTGGCCGACTCATACAGAAGCGCTACATCTCCAAGTACATCTAGGGGAGCAGCAGCGCATCAGCGGCACCGATTCTGAGCACGTGCCACCGCAGAGAGTCAGCTGGGGAATTATTTATCAGAGCTCCATGTTTCTTTTTGTTAACTTTTTTGTTTGGGAAAAGCAACACAAAGGATGAGGAGAAGATTAAGAGGAAAGGAACGAGAACGATAAGGAGGAAGAGAAGGAGAAGGGGAAGAAGGAGCAACCACTCAGCCATATGGTCATCCATATGGCATGGTCCATGTGTGTGTTCGTGCAACATTTGCCACCGACTGCAGTCCCATTCCAGCACCAATCTCCAATCTCCGCCGACGACTATTTATCACGACGACTGGCCCCAATTAGCCCGGCTTTGGCGCCCTCCCACCCTGCATACGTACAACAGCAAATTGAAATTCACTTAAGCCCGCCGCTCCCGCGCCACACCCCTCCTTTAGCTTTAAGGCCTAGACTAATGGATGCCCCCAGCCTCCACAGCCTCCACAGCCTCCACAGCCGCCCGCTAGCCTGGCCACCAGAACTTTCTCCATAAAGTTCAAATTGAAAATGGAAATGAAAACTCATAAAATTTCTTGCCACACACACAAAATGTTTCATCTTCGTCCTTGGGAAGGAGCCGAAGCAGTTGCCCAATTGCATATGTATATCAAGCTAGTACTTAAACATTTAATTGGACTTGAACAAAGTTCGCACAAAAAGAGCAACATTTTGCATAGATAACGTAGATAACGTAGATAACCTAGATAACCACAAGGAGGATAACGAATACGAGTACGAGCATATAACGAATCGAATGTGATTTTTGTATAGTGACAAGAATTTTAATTTAATCCATTTTTATCGAATACTAAATGCCGATGTAAATTATATAAAACTGATTCGTTGTCGCGTAATCGCATTATAGATATACAAATTAATTAATGTAGCTTATCTTAATTATACATACATACATACATACATATACAATATTTAATACTACATTTAACGGTTGCCTAATTAGCATTAACAGCAAGAAACATCAAACCCACAGATTGGAATGCAAATACGTTTGAATATTGAAAATAAAACGATTGAGCAAGCTTAAATGCACATGTGCATATGTGGAATGTGTTGTATATTTTATGGGCAGATGAAATTTATTATTTCAAACGTTCGAAACTCGATGTTCATTCTGCAGGAGGCGGCCAAGAGTATGCCACAAAAATATTTCTTTTGCCGGATTTATTTCGAAATTATTGCATACTTTCAGGCTGAACGGATAATATAACCAGTATTTTCTTTAATGGCACATATCTCGGCCAACTAGGACTATGTCGACCAAGGACCTACTTCCCCAGGATCAGGGAAGTCCAGACTGTTGATCGTCATCAAAATCTGGACACAGGAATCCGGGAATACACAGGATAATACAGGAAAAAAACCCAGTATTTTGATTATTTGCACAGTCAATTGGGCCAGATCGGCGAAGGCCCTGTCTAGTATCCAGACTTTGTATTTGCATTTTTTTATAAATATTTTGTGGCGTGAAATATCTAGATGAGATTGTTTTTGACAAGTATTTCGCATGCCAATATTAATCGACGTAGACATCTTATTCCAAGTGATTTATTACTGCGTTTCAAAGCGCTGCCTCCCCCTAATAGACACAATAGGAACCCGGATAAAACTAAGAAAATAAGAGTTGAGAATAAATTGATTGGCGCAGGCATACGTATCTTCTATACCCGAACGAAACCCGTTTCGTAGAGCAGTCGGGACATCAGCCACAATCGGTGCGGATCGCAGACTCAGTCGTCGCTCAGACTTTCGCATAGCTAATTCGTGAAACGGTCAAAAACATCTGTCCGCCTCAGATTTGCTCTTTGCAAGCACGCAACACATAAATTAAGCACGCTGATACGAACAGAGTGTCTATAATCATCGCTCATTAAGTAGAGATTACCTATTATAATAAACAGAGGTACTACAAGCCTTGCAAGTCGTACGGCAATACGAGTATGTTGGAGAAGATTACTGAGTCTTATCAGAAGTAAACAATTAGTGTCTAACAAACGCTTGCACTTAAACGACGACAGCCTTCCACAGTCAATTAATAGACGAATTCCCATTCGAATATTAGCGATGCAATTTGTGTTGCTCTGCTGTTTGCTGCTGGCTCTCCTCCCGCAGCCCAGGCCTGTGGAGGGAGCCAAGATACTGGCAGTCTATGCATTTCCAGGTAAGCCAAATACCGAAGGAGGTACTGCTTGTTGACTCCATATTTTGGGTGGCAGGAAAGTCGCATTTCATGATGCACACGGCCCTCATGAGGGAGCTCGTCGAGAGCGGCCACCAGGTGACCATGATCACCGCGTTTTCGCTGGAGAAGGAGCAGCTGGGCAGCAACTACACGGAGATTCTGATAGAGCCCGTCTACGACTTCTGGCACGATGGTAAGTGCAGATTTGCCCATCGCCCATCATCCTGCTTTTTCTATCCCTCATCTGTCCGCAGTCAAGCTGAGCTTTGGAGCCCAGCACTTGTTCGAGCTGACGCGCATGACCAACTATGATTTCCTGAAGATGCTGGAGATCATCGGGCTGAAAACCACCGAGCACGCCCTCCGGCAGCCCAAGGTTCAGGCCGTGATTCATGCCAAGAAGACGGAAGGAGTCTTCGATCTCCTGCTGGCCGAGCAGTTCTACCAGGAGGCATTCCTGGCCCTTTCACGCATCTACAAGATACCCGTGGTCACGACCAGCACGCTAGGCTACGAGAACCACATGAGCCAGATGATGGGTCTGATCACGCCCTGGTCCTTTGTGCCGCACGGCTTTATGCCGTTCACCGATCGCATGAGCTTCCTGGAGCGCGTTAAGAACTCGTACGCCTCGCTCTACGAGGACCTGGACCGCCTACTCAGCTACTTCCCCAAAATGGATGCCGTCGCGAGGGAGTTCTTTGGCCCCGTCCTGGGTGAGTGGGGGTTCCAGTATATGAGAAATGGGAAACCAATTTGTCTGTGCTTGCAGGCGAGGTGCCAAAGGTCAGGGAGATGGAGAGAGAGATCTCTGTGATGCTGCTCAACAGTCACGCACCGCTGACCACGGCCCGCCCCACTGTAGATGCCATGGTGCCCGTGGGCGGGATGCACATCTATCCCCCCAAGGCCCTGCCCGCGGACATGCAAGCGTTCTTGGATGGAGCCAGCGAGGGCGCCATCTTCTTCAGCCTGGGCAGCAACGTCCAGAGCAAGGATATGCCCCAGGAGATGCTGCAGCTGTTTCTACAGGTATTTGGCTCTCTGAAGCAACGAGTGCTTTGGAAGTTCGAGGACGAAAGCCTCCGCCAGCTGCCGTCCAACGTGATGGTCCGCAAATGGCTGCCGCAGGCGGACATCTTGGCCCATCCCCAGGTGAAGGTGTTCATCACCCACGGGGGGCTGTTTGGCACCCAGGAAGGAGTGCACTACGCCGTACCCATGCTGGGCATCCCCTTCTACTGCGATCAGGTAGGGACTTGCCCACGAAGTGGCTAGAACATGCCTAATCTTCATCTTTCCACTGACAGCATCTAAACATGAACAAAGCCGTGCTGGGCGGCTATGCCATTAGCCTGCACTTTCAGTCGATCACAAGTGAGGTCCTTGAGCACTCCCTGCTGCAGCTGATCCACAATGCCACCTACAAGGAGAGCGTCCAGCGCGTTTCGAGCATTTTCCGGGATCGCCCCCAGGAGCCGCGCAAGAGCGCCGTCTATTGGATCGAGTACGTCATCCGCCACAGGGGAGCACCACACATGCGATCCGCAGGATTGGATCTCAACTGGTTCCAGTTCTATCTGCTGGACGTGATTGCCTTTGTGGTGGCCATTGCCTTGGCCGCTCTGTTGGCCGCCCTTCTTGCCATCCGCCTGCTGATGGGGAGCGACAAGCAGCACAGAAAATCCAAGACACACTGAAAGAGTGGAGCATTATTAATAAATTTAAAATATGACATTTCGAATTTTTCCATTAGTCTGTTATAATAGTTTTTTGTTGCTCATCAATTAAACCGATCGGTTGCCGCACGAACAGAGATCGGATTCGTCTAGAGACGAGCACAGGGCTCCATAGCCTGTCTCCGTGACACGCAGCACGAACAAATAAACTAATGTTACAGTAGATGAGCCCTAAACTGTTTGCCATCCCTAGTGGTCAGACCCAACCAGCCCACCCAGAACACGTTCTCAGTCTTCGGAGAATCGCCGAGTGAATCGGTTGTGAATTGTTGATAGCGCAGCAAAGTGTAGAGACCCGGGAACTCAAAATGGTTTGTTGTTTGGAAGCAATGAAAGATCTTTCAAGTCTTTTGCAAACTATTTCACCAGAACGGTCAATTTCGAATTTTGCTGTCTGGGGAAAGTTTCGGTGGTTGGCAGGTGGTTTGCCCTTATCAGTAGCCCACTAAAAATTGGAAATAGGCGGGCTATCAGTGGCACTTTCCGACGTACAGATGCGGTTAACAGATAAGATAATGATGCTTGTTAACCGATCTAGTGCTAAGCAAACTATACGAGTAGTTATTTTAAAGTAGGTCATTGACTTTGCTGAATTGTGGCACTTGTGTTCTCCTTTCCAGCAACTGAAATGTATCCTGCTCCTCACGCTGGTAGCTCTTCAGCAGCTGTACCTGGGCGAGGGGTCCCGCATCCTGGCGGCCTTCTTCTTTCCCGGAAAAAGCCACTTCATGATGACGAACGCCATTGTTCGGGAGCTGGTGAAACGCGGACACGAAGTCACCTTTATCACGCCTTTCTCCCTAGAGAAGGAGAACCTGGGACCGAACTACAAGGAGGTGCTGATTGCGCAGTACGATTTCTGGCCAGAAAGTAGGTCGACCCGACCCAACATGGGCATGAACAGAAATAATAGTGCTCTTATCATATAGTTAAGGAGATGACCAAAACCAGTACCATTTTGGAGATGACCGATGTGCCAAACCTGACGTTCGTCAGGCTGTTGACGGTGATGGGTGCCCACAGCACGGACTTTGCCTTTGACCAGCCGGAGATACAGGAGATAGTGAATGCCGAGGACAAAGTCGGGAAGTACGATCTGCTGCTGGCGGAGCAGTTCTTTAACGAGGGCGCCCTCATTCTGGGGCATCTCTACCAGATCCCCATCATCACCGTCTCGACCTTCGGGTACGCCAACTACCTCAGCCAGCTGGCGGGCATCGTCTCGCCCTGGTCCTATGTGCCCCATGCTTTCATGCCGTACACGGACCGCATGACGCTGTGGGAGCGCATCGGGAATGTGGCCATCTCTGGAACCGAAGATCTCATCAGGGAGTTCTCCTACTATCCCAAGCACGATGCGATTCTGAGGAAGCACTTCTCTCGACTGCTGGACAGGGTTCCGACCATCAAGGAACTGGAGCGGAACATATCCGCCATCCTGCTGAACAACTACATGCCGCTGACCACGACCAGACCCACCTCCTTCAACATGATTCCCGTGGGGGGACTGCACATTCAGCCACCAAAACCGTTGCCCCAGCATCTGCAGCAGTTCCTCGATGGGGCCACGGACGGAGTCATCTACTTCAGTCTGGGTAAGTGGGCGGTGCAATCATTTTCAGGAGCTCAAGCTGATGGTTCTGCTTCGATCTCCGACTAGGTTCCCAGGTTCGCAGTGCCGATCTCCCGCCCGAGAAGCTAAAGATCTTCCTCAACGTCTTCGGAAGCCTCAAGCAGCGGGTTCTGTGGAAGTTCGAGGATGAGTCGCTGCCCAATCTGCCGGCCAACGTGAAGGTGCAAAACTGGCTGCCGCAGGGGGATATCCTAGCACATCCCAATGTCAAGGTCTTCATCGCCCACGGCGGACTCTTCGGCACGCAGGAAGCAGTTTACAACGGGGTCCCGATGCTGGGAATGCCCGTCTATTGCGACCAGCATCTGAACATCAACCAAGGCAAACAGGCCGGCTATGCGCTGGGCCTGGACTATCGTACTGTCTCCGAGGATCAGCTGCGATCCTCGCTCACCGAACTCCTCCAGAATCCCAAGTATAGAACCAAAATGCAACAGGCCTCGCGAATCTTCAGGGATCGCCCTCTGAGTGCAATGGACACTGCCATGTACTGGATCGAGTACGTGATCGAGCATCGCGGAGCCCCGCATCTGGTGGCCTCTGGCGTGGAGCTGCCCTGGTACCAGTTCTACCTCCTGGATATCGTAGCCCTGGCCCTGGCTATCGTTCTCCTGCCCATCGTGGCCCTCTGCTGTCTGTGCCGCAGCTCCAAATCGAAGAGGGAGTCAAGGAAGAAGGCCAAGCGCAACTAATTGGAACCAAAACTTGATTTATTTTATTTTTAGAAACAGACGGGATTACAATTATGTTAGATATTTCGCAATTATTAAATTAATAGTAAATTTTGAATAATAATAATTTCGTAATACATTTCTAGGGCAACAGATGGCTGGCAAAATAATTGAGAAGGAAGCTGGCGAGAAGCGTACAAAGACCGCTCCCAACTAACTGAACCGGATGCTGAAATATGTCACGAGAATTAGCTTGGGATCATGGGATCGGGGGATCTGGTCGGGGCTTCGATCGGAGCAGCCTTGGGTTAGGGATCATACAGAAGCATCTTTGTGTAAGTGTGGGTGTGGGTGTGTATTGTGTTTGTGTTTGTGCGCGATCTCTAATGGCTTATGACCATGGACTTCTTTACCTTCTTCTCTTTCTTCTCGTGGGTGATAGTCACTTCCTCTGCCAAAGAAAGAAGAATGTGAAATTAGGGATTCTCTGGATTAGGGATTAACCTGGATTAGGGATGTACCTTCGAACTTGGTGGGCAACTGCCGGACCGTCTCGATGGTCTTGACATTCTTCTCTCCAGGCTCGATGATCTCCTCCTCGTACTCCTCGATGATCTCCTCTTCGTCGGTGTCATCGGGATTCACTTTAGCGCTGGGCACGGGATCGAACACCGTCTTTACGGCCTTCTTAACGATGCCCTCAGCGGTGACGGTGGTATAGTGGTATTCGGTGCCGCCCTCGATCTTGATCGTCTCAACGGTGGTGACATCCCCGGGATTCTCTGAGGGCACAATCTTCTTGGTGCCCGACTCGGACTTGAGCTTCTTGGTGGAGGTCACGTTCTTGTGCTTCTCGGCATCCTTGAGCGTCTTCTTGTACTGCCTGATCTCCTCCTCGGTCAGCTCCACTTCCTCTTCCTCGTAGACGGTCTTCGATGTAGTGATGGTCTTTCCGGACTCCAGCTGCGTGTTATAGGTGTACTCCACGCCGCCGGGCACGCGCTTGGAGGCCACGGTCGTGCTGTCGTTCTGCACAAAGTCCGCCGGCGGTGGGGGGGCCGAGGACTTGGGCTTCTTCTTCTGCTTCTTGTCGCTGGAAGAGGTGGAGGAGGTAATGGCCTTGATGTTCTGCTCCTGCAACGAGTTCTTGCGCACCGTGCGGTTGTTCTCCGTGATCTCGATGTTCTGAGTCACGGAGACACGCCTCTCGATGGTTGTGTCCTCGCGGTAGTTGGACTGCTGGTCGCTGGAGTTCTGCACCACGTTCTTCTGCTGCTGCTGCACCTTCTGGACGACGCGGCGAGAGGACTCCGTGGAATCGGTTGAGTCAACCGACGACTTGCGGGTCACGTTCTTCTTGGTCTTGTTCACCTTCGTGGTGGTGTTCTCGTTCACCTCCGTGGGCACTGAATCGTAGAAGGTCTTGGTGCGCATGCTCCTGGTGCCGTCCTCGTTGATGGTGGTGTACACTTCCTCGTAGCCGCCCTCGATGGCGCGGGTCAGCATCGTGGTGCGTTCGTCGATGCGGATCTCCTTGCCCAGCCGCTTCTGGATGAGCTTCTTGTTCTGCTGCTCCTTCAACAGGTCCTCCTGGCTGACCGGCTTGGGGTCCCAGAAGGTCCGCACCTGCGTCTTCACGGTACCATTCGGCTGGGGCGTGGTGGTGATCATCTCGTATCCGCCCTCGATCAGCTTGTACTGGGTGCTGGCGCCAGTCGCCCTGTCGAACTCCACCTTACCATCCTGGATGTCCGCGGAAGTCAGTTGCTCTGTGATGGGGGTTTCATGTGGATGGATTAGTGGGTGTGGACCAGTGTCTGGGTGTAGTGTCTACGCAACCATTGATTCATTCATTCCATTCCTAACATCGAGCGTGTGTGTGTGGTGGGGGTTAATAGTCGTGTCTAGTGTTAGGGTTAGTTTCGCTGCATCTGCGTATCCGCAGCACTTGAGGCCTTACGTCTATTATTAGTTCTCCTATCACTAAGTTTTCCTAGGGTAAGTCTACGATATTGCAATTGGTTTCCTCCTTAAGGCAGCCTGGCGGTTAGTAAGCGATTTATACAGCATTCCATTCAATTCGATTCGATTCAATTCCATTTAGTTATCCGTTCCTTTTCGTTGGGGTGGGCCCTCTTTTCAGCTCTGTTTCCTGCTTAGACGTGCACGGGTTGGGGCTCGGGATCCAAATGCAGTTGCAACCGCCTGGGCCGACACGCCAGGTGTGGCAGGCAGCTGTAGTGCATCAGCAGGTTCAGTAATTGCTATTTAAACTTACGCACCGCCCGCTGGCGGCTGGCCTTGTTACTGGAGCTGCCACTGTTGCCCGGCTGCTGCTGCATGGTGATGTGCTGCTGGCTCGACGTCTCTGCTGTCTGGGATGCCTGTGGCTGCGGCTGCGGCTGGGGCTGGGGCTGGGCCTGGGCCTTGGCCTGGGACTGTGGCTGTTGTCGCATCTGTGGCTGGGGATGCTGTGTGGAAACAGTGACCGAGCCGGAAGCAGGTCTCTCAGCGTTAGTTGCAAGTTTGTTAGTTGCGGCTTTTGTGCGGGGACTGGGGCGAGGCGGTTGGTCAGGCTCCGGCTCCGGCTCTGGCACCGGCACAGGCACCGGCTGCAGACCAGGACGAGAGCTGGGCTTCCCTTGAGGCTTGTCGGAGGTCCTTTGCGGCTCAGTTGGATGCTGCACCAGTTTGATTGCGGTTTCGATTATCAATTGATTTAGGCTTAGTGTGTTAGCATTATCGCTATCATTATCTGTGTCAGTATCGTTATCTGGAAAATGTGGTTAGTGTTAGGGCGACATTCGAAATCATTTTCATGTGATTTATCTACAGCAACAGTGAGATGCAATGAGAGTGGATGGTGGCGCATGGATCTGCTGAGATGCTGGCTCTTACAGCTAAGATTCTATGGTGGATGGATGGATGGTTGGTGGCATAGATGCATGTGGTGCAGTGGTGCACTTCCCAAAGGCTTAAAAGTAAACAACTGAAAAGTGACAAATGCAGAAAAATAAACTCTCAGTTGCGAACCGATTGATTGACTGATCGACTGACTGTCTGACTGACTGACGAAGGGATACAACTTAGGACTAAAATAAAAATGCACATTTAAAAACAAAATTTCACAAATGTCACAAAGTGTTTGTGTTGTAGTTTTTGTTGTTGGGGTTTCTTTGTGGTTCTTGAATAAATATTAAGACAATATTCCAAAGTAAATTATAACATAAATGGTACGAGTATATATATATATATGTAGATAGAAAATATATTAGCATTCCACTGCAAAATAAAAACACTCGAAACAAACATCTGAAGATGTGGCAATGGAAGGGGTTGACGGGGCAAGGCACACACACAAAGATACAGATACAGATACAGATACAGACAGAGACACAACTGCCACAAGAGTTCAGTTTTGGAGATTTATTTTATTCTAGATTTATTTTATACACACTTTTGCTTGGATTTTACTCATATTGAAAACATATCTATCTACATATGTTTAGGGGGACGATGGCGATGGCGATGGAGGATAGGGAACACGTGGAGTGGGAGAGGGCTGCTGGAGAGGGTATTTATGCTCCAATGAATTTGTGGATGCAGATGAACAGTCATCGCCATAAATCGGTAAACACACGTACGAGTACGAGTACGAGTACGTGTACGAGTACGAGTACTGGCAAAAGTACAACATTTTCAATTAAAATACAATGAAGTGTAAAAGTTTGTGGCGGGGCCAAGTTTTGTGGGCGTGTTTATGTGTATGTGTGAGAGCTGATGCAGAGAGGTGGCAACTGTGCCAAGTGCCACATGGCTGCTGTCGAGAGCAGCAGCCACACGAGTGAGTGAAAAAAGTTTAATTTGAAAACTTAATTAAAATTTCTGTGCGTATTTTTCATTTTTTCCGCCTCACTTTCCCTAACAAGATGGCCTGCCTGCTGCCACGAGGAGCGTGTTTGAGTGTGAGTGGTTGTGGGTGGGTGTGCGCGTGTGTGTGTTGGTGGGGAGCAAATAAAAATTGCATTTATGACACTCGGAAGTATTCGCTCGACAACATTTTTGGCACAGAAGGGCGCTTCAGCATGCTCATGAAACCTTAAATTTCAATTAGAGTTTTGGTCCTTGAAATTGACAGCACTCTGCCGCTGTCGCTGCCTCTCTTTAAGTGTGTGTGTGTGTGTGTGGTGAGGGGGTATCTCTGTGTGTGTTTGATTGTGTGCGTAACAAAAAAGTGGCAACAAAACGACGAAAAACGAACGGTTTATGCGTTTCTTCTGCTGTGTTTTGTTCTGTTCTGTTCTACGTGTAGGTTCGATTCTATTTTATTGTGTTGTGTCTATGATGAACTACCGGTTTGGTCGGTCTCCGGCTCGGGCTTCTTGTCCAGCGTCTGCGAGATCTTCTTCCAGATGTTGTCGAACGAGTCGGCGCCTGAGTAGTCGATCTGTCCCGACTCCCAGCACTGGCGCCGCATCAGACTCTCGTAGGCCTCCTGTTCGGGCGTACGCTGCACACCGATCTGCAGCTGCGACAGGGCTCCAGCCAGACCAGCCTGAAAGTAGGCAATGGAAGGTGAGTGGGGGCTCTAGAACTATTTTCGGTTGGGCGGGTAGGTGTTCAAGGGGTGGGGGTTGCTGGAGTGCTGGGGCATACATGCATTGTGTGCGGTTACAAATTAAACATTTATTAGCCAGGCGACAACATTGAAATGTTAGTTGGGGACACGCTACGGTACACAGGACGTATGATTAATATGACAACAGAATGCTACTCGAGGCATAAATCATGATGCATTGCGGGTGCGGCTCCTGCTGCTGCTGTTTCTGCTGCTGCTTACGGTTGCAACTCATGTCCGGGCGACCTTGTGGTAGATTACTATGCGGAATGGAGGCGATACGAGAGGGAGAGAGCTGGAAATGGCATGCAACACAAGGATGAGATGGCTTCTACTCCTTCTACTGATGATGATGACGATGGCGGCCGTATGAATTGCTGTTCACGTTCAACCGGGCGAGTGCAAACTAATAAATCAACAGATGCACTCATCCCCAGGCGGAGGACAGCCACCACATGAACCATTCAATAGCTAACAATGGACAGAGGACGGTGGGAAAAGGACGC